GGGGGAATCCGAGCCGCTCGCAGCCCGAGGCGTGTGATGCGAGGCTGAGCGCGTGGCGGCCCGCGTTGTGTCCGGCTGAGCTAGGAGCGACAGGACAGGGGCGCGCTCCAGCTCTGCTCGCCGCGCGCGGGGCGGGGCGCGGCTGGGGGTGCTCGGCCGCCCGCGGGGAGCTGCGGAGGAGCAGGCGCTCTGTAGACCCGAGGAAAGGCACGGGTAAAGCATTGCCATCAACTGTGAGCCCAGAGATCCCGTCCTCAGCCATCACACTAACTCTGCAGCCTCCCTTACGCCTCCGAACCACCGAAGGAGGCGACACCTGATCTAGAGCGCAAACACGGGTCCCTTCTGTCCCGGATACAATTACGCGGCAAAGACACACTCAAACTCACGCGCAGCAGCCAAGAGACAAGGTAAGCTGGAGGACCACACCATTCCAGCTGGTGGAAGGGGGGCGGGGTGGGAGGAGAAGAGGGGAGTTATCTGTTCCCAGAGGTGAGTGCTGAGCGAATGGCTGCAATCCACGGGCGGGGGTAGGAATCGGAAAATGCAGGTGGGGTCGGGCTGAGGGAGTTAGGAATGGGTAGTGGGGGCTGGGGGTAGGGAGAAAGGCTGGGGGCTTGATGGAGTGTAAAGGAGATCTTTCCAGACTGCATTAGCTCCCCTAATCTTTTCCCTCCCATATGGCACCCGAGGGTCCTCTTGGGTTCGTGTGTGCAAAGCGGAGGCTGGGGATTACAGGGCGCAGATCCGGCGTAGGACCTTGCACTTGACCCTGGAGGGATGGGTGCAGCGGAGCTCAGAGGTCGAAGCCAGCTGCCCTGCAGGAATGGGGAACTGGGAGGTACTTCGACACTTCTACTACTCTTCTCTACTCTGTCTTCCCCCTAAGGCGGAATACGAGCAGACATTGAGGGTGGGGAATGTCTCGGGGCTACACACACTGGGACCTTCCAGCGCCCGCCGGAGTCCACATGCTCGCGCGACCCCCGGGAATGGTCAGTGGTGGCAGTGTTCCGCGGGCGCCCGCACGGATCAGGGAACAATATGGGGTGCCCTTGCATTAGAGAAGTGTGTGCCGGCCCCGGGATTAGAGAGATGAGCGCCGGCGGGCAGGGAGAGAGAAGGACGCGCTGCGAGAAGGGCGCCTTCGTTGGGCTGGAGGAGCGGCGAGGGGGCCTGGGATGTGTGTTTTGGAGTTGTAGGAGGCAAACCGCATCGAGAGGGCAAGTACGTGCAGTGCGTCGGGGCAAAAGGACAATCAGAAGTGGCGGGAGAGAGGTATCCAGTCTGTATGGGCAAACTTACTGGTGTAATGGAGGGTTTTTAAGTTGGGTTCGGTGAACGCATCACTCTGCAGCACTTCTTCAGGGAAAGGATCGCCCCCGTACCTCTACCGCGGGTTCTTATCACCTTTTAGCATTGGCGGGGGGCGGGGGGTTGGGCAGAGGACGGAGAAGGTGAACGTAAAGAGTCCGCAAACTAACGCGAAAGGCTAGATTGCGCCAGCCAGGCATTCCCAGCAGAGAGAGGGAATACCAAAGGTGAGGGTGTGGGTGGCCTTTTCAGACCAGGCAGAGGTGATCTGTATAGTCCCCTCCACTAAAAGCCAGTGTTAGCAATGGAGACAGAACCTTTTACTTCAGGTGTGATCCACTGGAAAAGGTTAAAATTCACGCTATAAAAATCCTCAGTCCCTTCAGACTGTCACCTTGTACAAAGAGTTTTTCAAGCTTAATGACATGAATGTGTGGCAGTTTGGCTAGATACCAACTGTGCTGTTTATTTCTAATAATTTCATGTTAAAAAAAATTTGTATCCAGAGTTGTCATGCTTCATTTCCACATATCCTCAGAAAAACATGACTGCCTTTTGAAGGAAGGATAGAAAGAGCTTTTTAATCGAGATTTTAATGGTATTAGGAGTAATACTTGGTCCCCAGAAGATTGTTAAATTAGCTGAAGTTATGCATCTTAATATTATGTGGTAAGGAAGACCAGAACTTTGTATTAATTGAATTAAATCTGAGCCAGCAGATTAGTTTTCTCCTGTAGAAACTCTTAGTTGTTTGAGGTTTTGTTTTAGGAATGTCTCTGTTAAGCAAACATTCTAGATAATGCCAGAGGGAAATACTCTAGTATCCTTTGATTTGCCTGGCACCCAGAGTTAAGTTGACATCTAGTGTTGTGTGACCTAGTACTACAGAAGTGCTTAAGAACCAAGGTGAAGCCTTACATGACATTTAGTAAGAGCTTTATAGCCTATTGGGAGCTTGGACATAACTGAACATAAACTATACTTCTGATTTTTTACTGTAGAGATTTGAACTCTTTAAATCTAAAATTTTCAGATCTTTATGCGTGTTGTGTTTATGCTTAGGGCACATGCTAGAATAAACCAATTCAGTAAGTAAAGATATATAACAAAATTTATATTTTGTTTAAAGAGTTTGACAGTTTGCATTTCCCAATAACTTAAATTAAAACATTTTATAGTATTATGAACAACCATCAGCTTATTACTATATAAATATGACTGAAAAACCCACCCTCAATCCTCAAACTCCTTTTCAAAATCATTTAGGTGCCTCCTTACCAAATAATATTGATTTGTTGCTGTTTAATTCACACTAGATTTACAGCGTACACCTGGAAATTTCCAAGATACAAGCAGAGAGTCAGAACTTTTGATTGTTTATGCAATATATAATATCTCATTTATTTGACATCATCTGGTTGACATTAACTGTGATTATTTACATTAGCACATTTTCTAGATACCAGACCCCTCACATCATTAATTACTGAAACTGTAGAAAATTTAGCCATTAACACAAACAAGCAATTTCTAAGTCTTACTGACTTACTTGTTCCCATGGAGGATATTGGATATAAGTTATTTTTGTTGTTGGATTGCCTTTATGAACATGAATTCATAAAGAATTGAATAGTGCTATTTGTCGAGGTGTATAGAGCTGTTTTTGTTTATAGTAAATGGTCTCAGCCTGCTGGGTTTAAATGCTAGAATGGAGACAGAAGTACCATTCTTCTTTTTATGGTTTTTCTGGGTCTTCTTTCTGTTATCAGCTATCACTTTCTACTGCTGTCAGGCTGTGAGCGGACGCTGCTGCTATATTATCTGTTGTCTTTTATATTTTTTCTCCATCAAATGATGTGGGCTATTGCCTGAGTATAAAGCCTGTGGACTCTGACAGATACTTTCTGTTTGTATGCTTTATTTGTGGGCTGGATTGTAAGCGGAATATTCCCAGAAGGGTGGCCTCTATAGAAAAGGTTTAATATGTGTGTGTTTTTAATATAAAATTTTGTGTGTGAGATCATTGGAAGTGTGTCTTAATTTAAGGCAGTTCAGTTTTCTGGAAAATCTTTGCTTTTCTGAGAAATTGAAGCAGACCTTTAAAAAAGTTTACTTTTATTTTTTATGGTAGGCCGGGTTGTCTTTGTTTAGGAATATGTGTACTGTGATATTTACACACCATTTCCTGTCATTGAAACTCACTAACCATATGTAATGTTAATGTTTTCCAACCTTGGGAGCCAGGAATGAGAAGGGTGCTTTGATAATATTGCTACCCATACCTCAGGCAATGTCAATTATTTAAATAATATTTTGCATACCTACCTATGGAGGAGCTACATAATCAAATCAGTTTGAATAAAGTAGTTTAATTTAGTCTTGAAAGCCGTGGTAATATCTTTTTAATCTGAAGCATTTCAAAAGCATTCATTCTTTTATTCAACAAATATTTATTAAAAGTGTACTATGTGCCAGGCACTGTGCTCTGGAGATGTGCAGACAATTAAGGTCCCAGGAGGGCTCTGGGTATAAGAGGAGGAGATAGACAGGAAACAAGTTAATTTTAATAAGAACAGCATAGTGCTGTAAGTTCTGTAAGTGCTGCACACTTTAGAGATTCACATGGAGTATCCTGAGAGGGATTTGGAAGTGACCACTTCTACATGGGGGTGGAAGACTCGAGAGACTTCACAGAATGTGACATAAAAGATGAACTCGTGTAGGCAGGGGCAAGATCATGGAGGGTTGTTTGCTGTCTTAAGAAGAGGATCATTTCTATTAAGGTTGTCAACAAAGGAGTGATGTGATGAGAAGACAGCTCTCACAGTGATCTAGAAGGATAGACCTGAGAAATGTAAGAGAGGAATAGAAAGTATTGGAGTGACCTTGGTAAGAGAGGTTGAGGACTTTACAACCAAAGTGGTAGCAATGGGATAAGGAAAATGGATTTGGTCACAAAGATGTTCAGGTGGTAGAATCTCTAGGATTAGGTGACAGATTAGATGGTAGAGTAAGGGTGGGTGGTATAGAAGGATGGGATGAGACTCAGATTTGAGAAGCAACGGTGATAAAGTTCAGTTTGGGGCATGCAGAATATTAAATGCTTATAGAAAAATCCAACTAGAGATGTGTGTTCAATAGATCATGGCACAGAAGTTCTGAGCAGAGAGGACGTGGGTTAGGTATGTAGGTAGATAAATGGACGGATGGACTGATTTAGTAGTTTTCAGCAAATAGGTGCTTGTAAATGATGAAAGTTGGTAGGTTTTCCAGGGAAGGTACTAAGAGTTGATATGGAAATAGCGGCCTGGGGAGATCCCAGAATTTTGAGAGTTGGGTATAGAAATAGACAGCAGCAAAGAAGAATGAGAAATAACAGAGCAAAAGAGGCAGAAGGAGAGTAAAGGGAGAGGAGCTTTTTAGCAGATTATGAAGAAGAGCATTTCAAGAAGTGAGAGGTTGAGTACCATAATGAGGGCGTCAGACAGTCCTGGTTCTGCCCCTAAATCGCTCAGTGAGTGACATTAGGCTCACAATTTCGTTCCTTTTTTTTTTTATCTACAAAACGTGGATCAAAGTGCCTGCTTCCTAGGGTTACTGTGAGGCTCAAGTAAAGGCAGTCAAGCACAGTGCCTGAAAGGTCACTGGTTTGTGTTCAATAAATGCTAGCTGATTTTAAGAAAAGGAAGACTTAGATTTGTGGTTAGGAGATCTGTAGTAGTTTTTGTTTTCAGAAGTGCTAGCTCTCAGAGTTCAGAGAGGGAGATTGAAAAAATATTTTTAAGATGAAAACTTGATCATATTTATAGCCTTTTGGGTTAGAAGCCAGTAGAATAGTGGCAATTGAAATTTTGAAGGGAGCATAGGGAGCCAGTTGAACAAGGTCCTTGGAGAGAGAGGATGGGAGTTGCCTCAAGAACTCTGGGGAGATGTTGGGTTATTCGGACTGGGCAGGCGTCCCCCAGCCTGGAGGGGCTGGTAGCATATCCATTGTTCTTAAAAAGCACCTGGTAATCAAATCCTAGACATTTTTAATGGCTTGTTTAAAGTACTCTTGGTGTTATAAGTGTGTGTTCTAGTTCCTTAAATAATCCAA